CCATTGCACCTGATCAGCTCACAGGGCTCAAAGTATTAATCCTCGTAACACCATTATTTTCCTTCAACCTATGGGGAACCTGGGAGCTAATCCAATGTACACTGAAGTTAGTAATGAATTAGAACTCTCCCATTGACTTCAATGGGAGCTGGACCAGGCCTGTGCAAACTACACGGTAGACACACTGTGGCTGTGTCTAGACTGGCCAGTTTTTCCGGAAAATCAGCCGCTTTTCCAGAAAAACTTGCCAGCTGTCTACACTGGCCACTTGAATTTCTGCAAAAGCACTGACTTCCTACTGTAAGAAATCAGTGCTTTTTGCAGAAATACTATGCTGCTCCCGTTCGGGCAAAAGTCCCTTTTGCGCAAAACTTTTGCACAAAAGGGCCAGTGTAGACAGCTGAGATTGTTTTGCACAAAAAAGCCCCTATCACGAAAATGGCAATCGGGCCTTTTTTGCGGAAAAACGCGTCTAGATTGGCCATGGACGCTTTTCCGCAAAAAGTGCTTTTGCGGAAAAGCGTCCGTGCCAATCTAGACGCTCTTTTCCAAAAATGCTTTTAACGGAAAACTTTTCCATTAAAAGCATTTGTGGAAAATCACGCAAATCTAGACGTAGCCTCTATGTTTTCAGTGCACACAGTAAGTTTGAAGTGACAGTAAGATTTTAGCAGCCTGTAGCAGCACCTTAACCACAAGACCATCCTTGTACATTGTGGTGAGCCTCATCCAGGGATGCAGGTTCTTCACACCCTCCCCTCTTCCACAGGTTCGGCCTCAAACTGTTCCTAAGATACAGCAACAAATTGGGAGGCCTATGGAATCCCTCTCTGACCATACCAATGGAATTATCCATCTAGTCTTTGTTCAAGGTCATGCCACTACCCAGCATGCTCCAGTCTGGTAGGTGTTCAATGCTGTTGAATCCCAGGAGACTTCATTCTGAACTTCAGTGTGGCATTTGCGTGCCTTTTTAAACCCTTTAGTTCACTGATAGGAACACACATAACTAGTAACAGTCCTCAGCCAAAACTGGACAACGCTTCTCTCTTCTGAGATATTGAGCTTGGTTCTTCCTCAGTAATAGAGATGAGTGGAGTTACTCCTGATTCTCACTGGTATGAGCAGGGGTGAATGTAACTTAAATTTCTTACAGGTACTGTCCTATTGCAACCTGGGTCATCGCCAGCTCTTTAAATAGCTCAAACAGCTCACTGAGGCACATCCCTTTACTTTCAGCTCTGGGTGTGAGTGAGTTGAAGCTCAGCCCCAACTAAACAAATCCTGTTAATTTTTACTGCCATTTGCTTGCCTAAGGACAAGATATGGTTAGAGAAAGTTGTCACGGGAAAGGCTAAAGAACTGAGGGGGTTGGCTTAGAGCCATTCAGTTCTAAGGTTTGAAGGCAGCACTTGTTCCCCTCAAGCAAAGACATATGGGAATGTGAAAATAGTTTGGATGCTATCTAATACACAATGGAGAGTGATCTTTCTGCAAGACAAAGCAAACTAGGAAGGGCAAATCTCTTAAGGGCGGAACTCATTCCCAAGCAGAGGGTAGGCCCACTCTGACATATCTGAAAGGATTAAGCCTCTGAACAAAGTGAATTTCAACGAAAGAGAAATAGAACGAAATCATGTCTCTAAGTCAATGGCAAAAATCCAATTGACTTTAATGGAACCAAGATTATACTCTTCATACTCAGATTCTAATCAAATTCTCTTAGTTATGACTTACATTAAGGGTGGGGAAGAAAGCACTTCATTATAGACCCAGCCCAACATATATAAAGCTTAATTGGTAATCCACACTTAACAAAAATTATCAGAAATATATTTGGTATATGTTTGGTATTCAATGCCTCTCCTCTTCACTTAACCGTTTTCACGAGAGGCTAATTATTGTGCCAAATTGTTTTCTGTGGCTTAGTCCCAGATGTCACATTTATTGGTCGTGGGGGTTTTTCCACCTTCTTTCATCCCTGGGTAATGGGTTGTAACGTGCTGTGGGGTAAAAATGGTCTACACTAAAGGGATGTGACTCTATATACAAGTATGAATGCTGTAAAGGGATGACTTTGAATAATTTGTCCTTTATATAGGTGTTTGATTTTGAGTTCTAGCTAATGTAAATATGGTTTCAAATAATTACACTGTTGTTGGTATTGCAGGTTATCTGATTGTCTGGTTCACATTATCAGGCTGTGGCTTCTGTGTTTTCATATTCAATAGGGGCCTGAGAAAGTTTCTCTCCTGATAAAATACTGTGTGCTACCTCGTATGTCGGTTTTAACTAATCTAGCTCACTAATCCTGGGAGATGTGCAGTACCTGAAAGAAAACTGCCAGTCTCTCCAGAGAGTTAGCACAGCTCAAGTGACTCAAGAATCACAGGCCTCCATTCTCCCATTTTGAGGCTTACTGGGAGACCTTTTAGATGAGTGAACTCCAAAAGCTTCCGATAAGCCTCCAAAAGCAGACATGCCCATTGCTCATGCCAATCTCATCCGAACTACTCAGAACTCTTAAATGGAGTTTGAGAAGCAGAATTTTTCTCCTAGTCTCATAGACCTAGGTCTTCCCACAAAGCCTCTCTCGCCTACATAATACAGACTCACTTCTTGCATTTGTACCCTGATGGGAAGAAGGAGGAAAGGCCCAAAGATTATTCCTCACAATGCTGGTCCAGGGTATGTTTGGACTCACATCGGCTGTGTCTAGACTGGCAAGTTTTTCCGCAAAATCATCTGATTTTGCGGAAAAACTTGCCAGCTGTCTACACTGATCCGCTTGAATTTCCGGAAAAGCACTGACGACCTCATGTAAAATCACCAGTGCTTTTCCGGAAATACTATGCTGCTCCCGTTTGGGCAAAAGTCTTTTTCCGAAATACTTTTGTGCAAAAGGGCCAGTGTAGACAGCATAGTACTGTTTTCCGCAAAAAAGCTCCGATCGTGAAAAGGGCGATAGCGGCTTTTTTGCGGAAAACCACGTCTAGATTGGCCACGGACGCTTTTCTGCAAAAAGTGCTTTTGCAGAAAAGCTTCCTGCCAATCTAGACGCGATTTTTCCGAAAATGCTTTTAACGGAAAACTTTTCCGTTAAAAGCATTTCTGGAAAATTATGCCAGTGTAGACATAGCCAGCCATCCTCTCTTAACACAGCTTGGGGGAGCTCAGTGGTTTGAGCATTAGCCTGCTAAACCCAGGGTTGTGAGTTCAATCCTTGAGGTGGCCGACGAGGGGCAAATCTGTCAGGGATAGTACTTGGTCCCCCTGTGAGGACAAGGGACTGGACTCAATTATCTTGCAAGGTCCCTTCCAGCTCTATGAGATTATATATGGAGATGTACCTATAGAAGATACTTAATTTTCTCCTTCTACTTGCTGGCAGACTGGGCAGTCTCTGGGGAGAACTGTGACTAGCTCAACCCCCTTCTCTGCACATCACAATTCTAAATTCTACTCTAGGTCATGTTGATGTTTCCTGGCTGAAAAGGCCAAACACAGCCAGCTGAGCAAGTCCAGGGCTAATGGAAGCAGCTGTGGGCCTCAGTAGCCAAAGGGCTAGATAAGCAACCAGAGGGATAGTAAGAGAGGAGAAATGAGGAGCCAGGGTGTGGCTGAATGTGTTTCCCCAGCCAGAAGTAGAGGCTGGCTGAGTTTGCTGTAAACAAAAGCTCTGAAATTGAAGGAGATGAGAAATTAGCACTGAGAATAAAAGGCATAGGTGACTGCAGCAGAAGGATAATAGATATGTAGCCCTGTTAGTCTGGTCTAGCTGAAACAAAAAACAGGACTATGTAGTACTTTAAAGACTAACATGATGGCTTATTAGGTGGTGAGCTTTCGTGGGCCAGACCCACTTCCTCAGGTCAAATTGTGGAAGAAAATTGTCATTCATACTTAAATTTGACACTTTACACCTAGGTCATAACAAGAACACTAATTACTTTACTCATTACAAAGATAGCTTCCCCAATTAGTCCTGTTTTTTGTTGCACCAGAAGGGGTCTCTGGTTGATTTGTGGACAAAGAAGACGAGGACCTTGCCACACCAGTGATAGATAGAAAAGCTTTTCATGCTGTGGAAGGGAATTGAGAGCCTTCTTCCACAGGGAATGGTGCAAACCAAACACACGTGTACCTATGTGCTGGACATTTTCCAAGCACAGACTGTGATGCTCTTGTTTGTTCTAGATGCTGTACAATGTAGCCCCAGTAATTTTCCCCTCTGCCCCTTAATATTTATTCCATTTGACTAGGGCTGGAAATGAAACTTAGAGCAGTCATTGTCACAGTAACTCTTCTTTCTTTTTTGTGAGGATTGGCTCTCCCCTTACTCCTTAAAGCTGAAGTATCTACAGGGCAGCTTTGTGGAATATTGGCAAGGATTTTTTGCCTGCTTTTTGAAAGGACTGACTGTCCCAGGCCTGGCATTTGTTAGGAGAGCCAAATTCTGGTTTGGGGTTTGTTTGTTTTTTAAGCAAGAAAACCACAGTTGGACTAACTCATTTTTCAGTCAGCTCTTCCCTGATTAAAGTGAACATACTTTGAAAAAAAATGTGGCACTATGCTGATACTGTAACTTTTTTTTTCAAAGTACAGGCAGTCCCCGGGTTACATGGATCCGACTTACATCAGATCCCTACTTACAAACGGGGTGAAGCAACCCCGCACTAGCTGCTTCCCCCCAGCAGACCAGGGAGATGCGAAGCTAGTGCCCCCCCCAGCAGACCATGGAGACGCGGAGCAGCTTTTCTCAGCAGACACCTCAGCTTGAGAATAAAGGACTGAGGGAAGTGAGGTGTGGGAGAATAAAACTGAGCTCTGGAGAAATGTTTGGCTAGAGTTTCCCCTACAATATGTGCCAGTTCCGACTTACATACAAATTCAACTTAAGAACAAACCTACAGTCCCTATCTTGTACGTAACCCGGGGACTGCCTGTATGTGTTTATAAAACAGGAAGTAGGTGTGCTATATATATATATATATACACCTCTAGAGCCAAGAGAGTTGCTAACACTTAAAGCCCTTCCAAAGATAGACAGACAAACTCTGGCTGGAGAAAGGTAACAAATTATATTTTTAAAATAAATGATATTGGAAAAATCACTTATTCAGCTCTGTCTTACAATGGCTATTTTATTCAGAATCTAAATAGTATCACAATGTCTTTACTTTTGAACTGTACATTTTTAATGCATGAATCCCACAGGGAAACTATATTAATATGTATTTTTTTTTATTTACCAGGCTACATTCTGATCTAAATTACATTGGTGTAAATGAGAAATATCTCATCTAAAATCAATTGAGTTAATCTGACTCGCATCCAAATCTGGTGCATGATATCAAGGCATTTTCCAGGCAAGGGTGTTAAAGCTCTTTGCAAAAATTCCCACTTTGCAAATGGTTAAGCTCAGTCACTGAAAAACTGAGGCTTCTCTTGCTTACATTGATTTTAAGCAGGTGTAACTTAAATAGAGTTACCCCTGCTTTAAACCAGGGTAACTGAACACAGGTTTTTCTCTACTGGAGAAACTAAGCAACCTGTCCAATTCTCGCTTATACAGTATATTGGACTGTATATTAAATATTGCAGTGAAAAACAAGTTAATTGTATATTTTCAGTGAATGGGAAAAAAACTAAAAGTCATACTGAATTCAGTCTGAATAAACAAACCCTACCAATGACTGTTAGTTGCAAAATTATCAGGCAATTTCAAAAATTAAAATTAGAACAGGTCAGAAAGGTCTCCCAGCTAAGAACAGTGCTGAGTTGTAAAAATGCAAATGTATAAATTTGTTTCTAACTTTGTAGTGTAATAATTTTTCATAGTTAAGAAATCTAATGCATGATTAAAATTTACATAATGGCTACATTTTCAAACCCGGATACCGATGTTAACATTTTATGGATGGAATTTTCAAGAATACCTAAGGCTCAGATCCCTAAACATTTTTAGGCACCTAAAAATTGAAATCTATTGAAATTAATTCCATTCACTTGGTATAAAATTGTATTTGAGAGAACAAATATCCATTTAAGAATCTACCTTCAGTGCCCAGGTTTCAAAACCTATGTTGGATAATATATAAGGACCTATTTATTAATATGGGTGGATTTGATTGTAAGATCTTATGAGGTGGAAATGTATATGAATATTGTAAGTTTGTGAAACAAACACTTAATTTAATTCTAATGCTAGAAATGTTTTATCTCTCTTGCCATCCATGTACTGAATAAATTTCAAGTATTATACATTAATGTTAGAATGAACTTGGAATCATCACAACAATTCAGCCTCCCTTGATCATTTTAAAAGTGAAGATAATGTACGTACACCATCTATTTCCCTCCATCTGCAAAACTCAGACCTCAGCCTGTGTTGTATGACAGCTTTGCCACTAGCTATATTGGGCATAGTCTCAAACCCCTGGTGTGGTTTTCCTTATATATGATGTGGGGGAGGGGTTTGCACATCTGAGGTTCATGGAGCCCTGTTAAGTGCTGTGTAGACTCGATGTAGCAAGATACAGGGACTATGAAAAGCTAGAGCGTGCCAAGGAAGAGGTTCCGATGGTATGGAGCTTCTGATCCCGCTCAACACAGCCAGGCTAAACTAGAGGTGCATGTGGATAAAGTGGTTCCATAACGATCTCATTGGCTGGCAGGGGAGAAAACAGTATTTCCCCAGTGCTTAGGAGGTTCTAGCTGCTCAGTGAGAGTGGGGGGCAGATGATGGCATGTCTTCTCATTGCTACACAATGTGGCCATATCCTGCTTGCCTCACTCACACGAACTGAACCTGTGGCTTCAGTGCAGCACTTCTACAAATGCAGCAAGCAGAGTGTCTCCTGCAAGCCAGCTTAAATCCCAGAAACTCACTTTCAAACAAACTCCTTTCAAACCTTTTCCTCCTTCTCGGTCTGGCATTTCCCTTCCGACAGGCCATGGTATCACTCATGCCTGCTGTGCAGGGAACTGTAACCATCATACAGATGGCTCTGTTAGTCATAGAATCCTAGGGCTGAAAGAGACCTCAGGAGGTCACAAAGTCTAGCCCCCTGCTAAAAGCAGGACCAATCCCAATTAAATCATCCCAGCCAGGGCTTTGTCAAGCTGAGACTTAAAAACCTCTAGGGATGGAGATTCTACCACCTCCCTAGGTAACCCATTCCAGTGCTTCACAACCCGCCTAGTGAAATAGTTTTTCCTAATATCCAACTTAGACGTCCCCCACTGTAACTTGAGATCCCTGCTCCTTGTTCTGTCATCTGTCACTATGAGAAAAGTCTTTCTCCATCCTCTTTGGAACCTCCCGTCAGGAAGTTGAAAGCTGCTATCAAATCCCCCCTCCCTCTTCTCTTCTGTAGACTAAATAAGCCCAAATCCCTCAGTCTCTCCTTGTAAGCCATGTGCTCCAGCTTTGTAATCATTTTGGTTGCCCTCCACTGGACCCTCTCCAATGTGTCCACATCCTTTCTGTAGTGGGAGGCCCAGAATTGGATGCAATATTCCAGATGTGGTCTCGCTAGTGCCGAATAAAGGGGACTAATCACGTCTCTAGATCTCCTGGCAATGCTCCTCTTGCCATGGTAGAATGGGAAACAAAGAATCCTGAGGGGCTGGACTTTGATCTTGGCATATAACAGGGCTATCGGTTCACATTTAACATCTGTTTATTGGTCGTTCTGCAGCAGCAGTCAGAATCCGTTGTCATATTGTAATTATTCATTGTTGCAATTTTAGATTCCTAGGCTACGTCTACACTGGCCCCTTCACCGGAAGAGGCATGCTAATTTCTAACTTTGGAATAGGGAAATCTGCGGGGGATTTAAATATCCCCCGCGGGATTTAAATAAACATGGCCGCCGCTTTTTTTCCGGCTTGGGAAAAAGCCGGAAAAGAGCATCCAGACTGGTGCGATCCTCCGGAATAAAGCCCTATTCCAGAGGATCTCTTATAGGAAGAGGAATAAGAGATCCTCCGGAATAATAATAGGAATAAGAGATCCTCCGGAATAGGGCTTTATTCCGGAGGATCGCACCAGTCTGGATGCTCTTTTCCGGCTTTTCCCCAAGCCGGAAAAAAAGCGGCAGCCATGTTTATTTAAATCCCACGGGGGATATTTAAATATCCCCGCGGATTTCCCTATTCCAAAGTTAGAAATTAGCATGCCTCTTCCGGAGAAGGGGCCAGTGTAGACGTAGCCCTAGTGTGATAATAGCAAACTGGGGGAGGGAGGGAGGTGCTAAATCAGGAGCAATGCTACTGAATTAAATGGTCTAACTCCAGGTTAAGTGAGAATCAGGCCCCAGATATACAGGAAGCGTCAGCCTTTCAATAGTAAATCGCTTTCTAATGACTGTCAGGATCATGTAAATACCAGAACCTATGGAGTCACAAAATACTAATTGTCTACCCATTCATTGTAGATCATTGTGTAATCTATTTTTGTATTAACTTGCTGTTAGTACTTTGCCAAACCAGAACTGAAGTGGGGGGTGGGGGGAGCAACACAGCCTTTCTTAATTCTTGCTTAAACAGGAGTGTCTTTGTTTAGAGAACTCAGAAAAAGTTAATGCTCCCTTTTCTAGTTCATTCATATGTTTACACATTTATAACAGCTGTCTGCATTGTCGAGTCCAAATCAAATGGCTTTTCAGACCTCTGACTCATTCCTGCACTACCTAATTTCTGTGTGTATGCAACAGGCTGAAGCTAATACTTAATAGCTTTAGAGGAGTAACTGAGTTAGTCTGTAACTGGAAAAAACAAATAACTAATAGTCTTGCAGCACCATAAAGACTAACAAAACATGTACCAGGTATCATGAGCTTTTGTCGGTACAACCCACTTCTTCAGATGAAGAACTGATAAGTAATGTTATATATAATGTTGCTTCATGAGTATATTTTTAATGTATGAATGTAATAGGACTGATTAAATCTAGGAGATTGGGGGGCACAAAGAGCTTGATTTTCCTCACAAAAGTTTTATCTTTTTATAATTTCACTGTCTTCAGTAGCAGAATCAGTCCAATGGAATTTAAACATGAAAAAGATTCAGGAGGCGTCATCTCACCAGTCTTCCTTCCAGTACAGGCTAATTAAAGGATCCAGGAAAGTGTCTAGTACCAGGGGTTCAAGGAGGGTTCAGACCTGATCTATTTGTTTGCTTTCTGATATGACATTTCACCCTTTCCCACCACTCAACAAACAATTAGAGCTATGTGAAAATTTTTCATGAAAAAAAATTAAAACCCCAAAAAACAGAAAATGTTTCCACAAAACAATTTTTTTTTCCTTACAGGAAAATAGCAATTGTCATAATATTTTTTCAGTCATGAAAAATCAAAGCAGCATTTTGTTTGAAGTCAGGATGACTCCAGTGGAAATATTTGCTTTGTCAAATCAAATATTTCATTTCAGGTCAATTCAACATTAATCTGTGGCTATATAAGATGCTGCACTGCCTCACAGGAGGTGTAGTTTAGGTGCCTCATCCAGCCATTCATCTGTTGGTTGGATGCTATGGCTGGACTACATCTCCCATCATGCATCTCAGTATTCCCTCTGGATGAACTGCCAAGATGCCTCAGAGTACGTGTGTAGTCGAGTCAGGGAGGCCAGTTTATAGAGGACCAAGACACCCAGGAACTAAAGCTCCCATGAGGCATTGCTAAAGCTCAGATTGAACTGAATCTATGTTGAAATGAGCTAAAATGAAATGTTTTAACATTTCTGAATATTTTTTAGCTTCCTGTTCACTGGGAAATGGTGCTATTCTAACTTTTTTGCCCAATTAAGGAGGGTGTCAAAATATCAGAACTTCCCACTGGGCAGAAATTCAGATATTTATCACCTCTACATCTCCCCCACTTCCTTGCTTCTGATTGAGGACTTCAAAGTTAGGAAGGCAAGTCAGCCATGATGGCACAGAGCCAAACTGAGGAACAGTGGGGAGTTTGAGCAACCAGCAATGAGGAAGCCATGCAGAAAAGAGGCAACTAGCAGAGCAAGAGAAGGCAATGGACAAACGTTAACAAGGAATGGAGTGCTATATGTAAATCAGGAGTAGACTGGGTCACCTGTTGGAGGAATGAGTGTGGGGTTGACATGGGAGAGGAAGGACAAGGAACTGAGGAGGAATATATCCATCTCAGCGCAGCATGTATTAAAACAGCCACACTCTTGTGCAACAGCTGTTCATGTCTGAGCAGAGCCGCAGTGAGATCCTGATCTGTTGCACCAGTGAACCAAACAGACTCCTTTAACAATGCCAGGAGACGACAGGCAGTAAACTGCTGCGCATTCCAAGCTATTTCAAATTATATAAAGAGAGACAAGAGAAGCTTTTTCTAATTGAAATGTTAGTTGTCTTCATCCCTAATCACCCTCTCTTGCTCCAGAAATAGATTCCACTAACCAAAATACCAGTGCACCCAAAGCATTGACAGCAAAGAGACTAAATGACATGGTATTTATTTTTTCCTCCCCAGAGATGAGTCTGCTCACTGTGATCGTGTGCCTTGTTGCTGCACTGCACCAAGCTGTTGTACAGGTATGAACCTTCACCAGAGGTAAAGGAATAGACCTAGATTTGTTATAAGGATTGGAGAGTCCACCTCCAAAATAGTGAGTTGCTTGAAGTTCCATAAGTATCAACGGTATTTGGTCACCTGTGCTAATGAATTCAGCAGGTGCTCCAAACATCTTCACATGTTTCCCTTCAAAGAATCTACCCTTGTTTATGTACGTGCTTTCCACGGCTAAGGTCTGCTTCTCCTCTCACGCTGATCTGATGCTGGTGTAATTCCACTGTGGTCAGTGCAGTTACGCCTGATTTCAACAGGGGCAAGCAAGAGGAAATCCAACTGTGTTGCCATGAAAAAGCTGGGTGAGGTGGCGATTTCATCAGGAACCACTAATTTCTGGAACGCCTTCCTAGCACTTTGCCATCCTAATGAAAACAAACAGGAAAGCAGGTCATCTCCTGCTGACTTCTTCTAAAGAAGAGATTCTAAAGCCACTGCTTGTTCCCGGGGGACCGACCCGTCAGAATGATTCATGTACAGAGTACCTGCATGTATCTGAATCTGAACTATCTGTAGGAGCTAGTGGCAAAGTTTGATATTGGAGCCACCTCTGTGCTTTCCAACCATTATGGGGTGTTTTGATCTGGGGACACCGTCTGGTCCCATCTCTGTATTTCCAAATCCAGCTCTGGGAGTCAGAGGGGTTAGTTGAGAAAGACAGAGAGAGGGGCAGGACTTCACTGACTGTAGGAACAAGGAGGAACTCATCAGCAGATGAAAACAAAATGGGTCTCCATTGACTGATGGATCAGTAGGGGACAGCAGACAAAGGAGGATGGTCTAGAAGACAAAAGGCCAGGGGTTTGCAATGAGCAGAAAAGATGGAGGAGTTGATGAATTGGGTGAATGGAAGAGACAGACAGCAAAACTAGAGGTATAAAGAGGCAAACACATTGGCTGTGTCTAGACTGGCCAGTTTTTCCCAAAAATCAGCCGCTTTTCCGGAAAAACTTGCCAGCTGCCTACACTGGCCACTTGAATTTCCGCAAAAGCACTGACTTCCTACTGTAAGAAATCAGTGCTTTTTGCGGAAACACTATGCTGCTCCCGTTCGGGCAAAAGTCCCTTTTGCGCAAAACTTTTTGTAGACAGCTCAGATTTGTTTTGCGCAAAAAAGTCCCGATCGTGAAAATGGCAATCAGGGCTTTTTTGTGCAAAAGCGCGTCTAGATTGGCCACGGACACTTTTCTGCAAAAAGTGCTTTTGCGGAAAAGCGTCCGTGCCAATCTAGATGCTCTTTTCCAAAAATGCTTTTAATGGAAAACTTTTCCGTTAAAAGCATTTCTGGAAAATCATGCCAGTCTAGACGTAGCCATTGGTTTTAGAATGGACATTATGGGAGGGGGGCAGAATCAGAGCTAAGATGGATTGGAACGCAGAGACAGACAGGGAAGTTGGGAATCTACTGACTAAATGGAGGAGAAAGGGACTGGAAGCGTAGAGATGGGAGTTCTTCTCACTAAAAAGCCTGAGTAAGGAGACTCATGTATGAACAGTGTTTCATAACCCAAGGGGATGCTTCCAAAACCAATGAGAGGTGGAGAACATTACAGCATAGCCATTAAACAATGATTGTTAAAACAGACGACTGGGACCACTGGTTAGTGCATTGAGTGTGGTGGGATTCAGCAAACAAAAATGTGAAGAAACCTTTTGCTGTGGTTTTCTCGTTAGGCCCCAGCTTCAGGTTATGCAGCTTTGTCTCCGTTCATTGTGAATAACCAAGATGTGATCATCGACAAGCACAACGAACTTCGGCGAGGGGTGAATCCCACTGCTAGGAACATGTTGAAGATGGTAAGCTCATGGCACTGCTCCTCCTACAGATCTGAAATGCTTCCCATTGCCACAGAGCAGCAAACTTGCTAGCAGAATTCTTTCCCCGCAAAGGAGCAGCCTTCCTGTTAAGCTGGGGGAGCGTAAGCGTGGGAGAGAAGCAGGTCCTCATGGTTGGGCATCGGACTGGGGTGCTGCAAGGCCAGGGTCTACTGCAAATCAATCACAGAGCGATCTTTTCAAAACCATGGTAGTGACTTAGGAACCCAACCACAATTAGAACTTAACATCTGTGCCTCATTTTTACCATCTACAGAAGTGAATTAATAATATTCACCTACCCCCCAGGGTCTCTGGGCATCTCATATCAACAATATTTCTAAATTGGGTTGAGATCTTTGCGTGGAAGGAGCTATAGGAGAGAAATTCCTATCCTTGTGCAGTGTAGTATGTAGGCATGGCTCCACTTACATCACATTTAAGCCCCCAGAATAAGGCTTGGGTGTTGTACATACTTGGGATAGCAGATGCTGTCCCTCCAGGCTGCCTTTGCAGGAATTGCCAGCTACTGGATCATTGTATGCTGGAACTGTGCTACAGCATACTGTCAAAGCACTCTCCAGGTTTCATGGCCTTTCTGACTCTCAAACCATCATTAAAGAAGGTTGAAAACTGGCTTGCAGACCTCTCCTTTGGCCATGGACATTGCTACCATCAGAACTGTCACTTTTCAGAACTAGGCTCTCAGCCATGGAGATTGTGGTTGGTTCATTCATGTGACTTGGGCGGAGCAGTTTTGTTTTAAGGGAACGATCCACTACAAATAGGTAGACAAAAATCTTCAGGACACTAAACGTTCATAGTCCCCAGCCAGTATAAACCTGCATAGTTGCAATGACTTCCACAGGGTTATGCTGATTGACACCCTCTTAGAAACCACAGGCTAATCCCCAGATTTGTATTTAGTTCTACATTTCCTATTGCATGTTGGTCATTTCTCCTTGTTCCCTTAAGGAATGGAATCCTGAAGCTGCGAGCAATGCTCAGAGATGGGCAGATCAGTGTAAAATGTCCATCAGTCCTAGGAATGAGAGAGTCGTTAATGGTAAGTAAAGAGGAATTACAAGATTATGAGTGATGGTTATTTCAATCGGGAGACTTCCAGGTACAACCATATTGCTGCTGAAGTGTGATTTTAGCCGAGCAGGAACACCGCTATGGGAAAGCATAAGATTTCCCTTCCAGATCCATATAGTTAGAGGCTTATAATGCAATAAAGGGGGGAAATCCAGCTGATCTGACACCCTGGCTGTTAGCCAGTCAGTGAATGTTTTCTTTCCCATGGGAAAAAAAATCCTTCAAATGTTTTCTCCCTATTTTCCCTCCTCCAAAATCCTTCAGGAGGAAAAACAGATATTGGCTTTGGAAAGTGAGAGGAATCCATTCTGTCTACCATATCTTGACTGCTGAGACAAGAAGCTCTTTGCCGAAGGGGCTGTCTCTTCCTAGATCATTTGAGTGCCTAACAGACTTAAGCTGCAATCTCTCTTAGGGCTACTGTAAAACAAAGAATTAGTAACGTGGGACTTAAAGTGATGCTTAAGCTTTGAGTGTATCTTCTGCATGGGGATGATTTTACAAAGAAGTTCACATCAGTGGCACATGCAGCATAATCAGTTATTGGAGGGGGGAGACTATTTTAATTTAATACCTAATGCTAGTGAGAGACCAGGTGGCATCTTTTCTCTAGAAATCATTATTATTATTGTATAATCTTCCGTCCTCGTGGTATTTCAATGAAGTGAATCTAGTTTAAAAAGTCTGCAAATAAACACATCTGGACATACAGTCCCTGCCCCAAGGCTTATGGAAGATAATGAGCACCTTTCTATCATCTTCATTGGGGTTGGAGCATGTTACCAGTTTCCTTCTTAGAAGTACTGGTTTATAGATGTTGCTTTGTTTAGACTGGAAAAAAGGTGTAAACTATTAACAGTGAGGTGAATTAACCATTGGAACAATTAACCAGAGAATGAGGTGGATGTTCCATCTCTGGATATTTGTAATCAAGATGGGATTTTTTTTTCAAGAAAAGATCTGTTCTAATTCAAATAGGAATTATTGTGGGGACGTTCTAAGGCCTGTGGTATACAGAAGGTCAGTCTGGCTGATCACAGTGGTCCCTTCTGGCCTCGGAATCAATGAAGTTGAGAAAATGCAAAGGGTAGAAACATGGAGGTTGGCCTAACTTTACAGTGTCTTCTGCGATTCCTACAGTCTCTCTACTTGTCCTCACAAGGTCTTGAAACAGCCTCATTTCTTTTGCAGGTGTTCTCTGTGGCGAAAACATATTGTGGGCTGATTACCCCCTCTCTTGGCCTGATTCAATCCAAAAGTGGTATAATCAAGTGGCTAATTTCAAATACGGTACAGGAGCAATCGAAGACAATGCCTCTATTAGTAGCTACACTCAGGTATGGAGATTGAAGACAAATTTCCAGCAAATGAAACACTATTTAGCATCTGAGGAAGTGAGTTGTAACTCATGAAAGCTTATGTCCTAATACATTTGTTAGTCTTTAAAGTGTCACCAGACTCATTGTTAAGAAGGAAAATGGATACCTGTCTGGAAAAACTACATTTATGTGAAAACATGGAATCCTGTGGCACCTTAAAGACTAAACAGATTTATTTGGGCATAAGCATTCATGGGTGAAGACTCACTTTGTCAGATGCATCTGACAAAGTGAGTCTTTGCCCACAAAAGCTACCCCTCTGAGATGTTACATTTATGTGAGCTCTCATGCACCTCCATCAAAGTCAGTGGAACTGCATCCATGCGACTAAATAAGCTTATCACTACTATTATCTATTGTTTACCGCCTGATCCAAAGTCCACTGAACTAGTTCAGAATCTTTCCATTTACATCCAAGGGACATTGGATCAGGTATTTCCAGCAGAAAAATTATTATATTTTTAATAAGTATATAATGTTTTTAAAACTGAACAAATGTCAAAGTATCTTAAGCATGTATGTAACCTTTCTGCCAGTCAGAGTTGGCAGTAACAAGACCTGGGCTCAGTAGTTAGGGGTTCCTCTTCAACAATACAACACAAAACCATCTCAAGCCCCCACCCAGTAACCTGGAACAATCATACATCATCCCCGGGACCCCTCGCACTGAGAGTCCCAGGAAACACTGGGGAGTAATTAGTTGAAATTACTCTGGGGAGTAATTATTCTGAAAGTGGCACCAGAGGGTCCACATGAACCCCATTTCAAAATAACTATTTTGAAAATAGTGTTACTCCCCTGAGAAAAGCAGGAGTACAGATTTCAAAATAAGCAGCCCAATATTTCAAAATAATGGGTGTGGTTGTGGGGACGCTTTGCTTATAAGTTGGATCTAAGGGGTGGAGGGGTATTTCAAAATAAAACCTTAGGGTATATCAGGGCAGTACTTCCCATCTTTGCAAGCACAAAGTCTGAGTGTAGCAGAAACCTTTAATAAAATGAGAAAAGAAACTCAGCATTCATTCAACACCACAACTAAGTTTCATAAACATCAATCATGAGCAAAAGACCCATCCCAAGTAGCCAAGGCAGTGTCCTTTTCCTACAGGTTCTTAAGTGCAGCAACCCAGAGGTCCCTTTAATGTGCCCGTCCCTTCTCTGCTGCACGCCACTCATAGTTGTCCTTGGTCAATGCAGCCCCAGAGTTTAGAAGTTCATCTGCATAGTTCACCTCACACCCTGGATGGAAGGGGTGGGGGCAAGGAGGTACCTTATATGCTCCACTCCCAGGTATTCTGTTGCTACCCTTCCAGCTGGTCACTATGCCTCTCTCTGGGGATCTGCTCCAGCCCTCTCCACCAGCCAGTCCTCTCTGCCAACTGGCCATGCCTCTCCAGCTGGTTCCCTACTAGCACCTGCCACCCTGCTGGTCGCTCCTCTGCACCAGCTATTCACCAATATGTTTTCAGTGTCTCCCACTTAAACACACTTCTCAGTGATTTCAGCTGTTAGTGAGGCATCCTTGCTGCTAATGCACTCTGGGCAGACATCTTGCACCAAAAAACACTGTCCCAAAGTAGATGAAATACTTAAACGTAGATATCAGTGATTTCAGCTTTGCAGCAAGCAACAAATTTCTCAACTGAGGTTAAATTAGCTCTTTTATTATACCCCCAAAAAGTGTCAAGCAGTGCTCAGGACTATCAAACAGCCCCTCACACCACCAGGTACAAGTTCCTACTTCTAACCTTTTCTAACTCCCTGCAAGTTGGGACCCATGTCTTCTGCCTAGTGAGTGTTATTCAGCTGAGGGTGAGTGCCACCATTGGGGTATGCCAGGTATAGTTCTGCTGCCCTGAATGCACATGACAAAGATAACAAACCATTAGCGCTCCTGCCCCATTAATAAGGAGAGTGGGGATCCAATACTAGCCAAAAGTGAGAACCTAGCATGGGCATGTGCTGAAAACCTAGCATGGGTATGGCCATGCAAATGAGATCAGCTCCTGAAGTTCTCTTCCACAGTTCACCATTAGGGCTCACAGTTCACCATTAGGGGAGAGATCTCCCTTACTTTGCTTACAGGTACTAAATTCTGGAATGAAATGTTCTAAAAACTGATCACGTGGAAACCTCAAAACAACATATTTCAAAGCACGGATTAGAAACAAACCTTTCATTTTCCTGCCTGAAAAATCATATAAGTGCTCTACAAAAGATGTCTGGTCACAAGATCCGCACCCCTCCTTTTCTTGTTCCCAACTGCTAAATTGGATTTTTTTAAAAGCTAAAAATTCATAATTATCTCCTGGATATTATTTTCCAAGCAAGTTCCCACAGGTATGTAATGGGTTCATGAAGGGCTGCTATTTTGTGAGATCATGAAGGTGATCTCAGATAATCCAAGAATGAAGTGAAGCCTTTCTGATTGAATGTACTTTATTTCATGCCTGTAGGTGGTTTGGTATAATTCCTACCTGACCGGATGCGCAGTTGCCTACTGTCCTGATAGTCGGCACCAGTACTTTTATGTTTGCCAGTACTGTCCCGCGTACGTACCAATAGTTACTTTCCTTAAGATGAAACACTTTGTAAGATGTTTTCAAACCTTCTAGGGCCCCTACATGCCTTAAAAACTGGGAAACAAGGAACCATGTGCACACTCGGTGATTCCTAGAACTGATGTCAAAGAGTTGACTCAAACACTCAAACATTCACGAAAAGCAAACAGGAAAAGGCCAAAATACTTTCAAAAGCCAGTTTTGATTTCGTTTGAAATGAATATTCAGGGGGAGTGAGGGTGTCCTAATATCTGTACACCTCTAACAGTTACCTGCCTCACAGGAAGGTTATAAGGGTGTTTTGTTTTTTTAAATGACTGCACACAATGGCTACGTCTACACTGGCCCCTTTTCCGGAAGGGGCATGTTAATTTCAGCTATCGTAATAGGGAAATCCGCGGGGGATTTAAATATCCCCCGCGGCATTTAAATAAAAATGTCCGCCGCTTTTTTCCGGCTTTTAGAAAAGCCGGAAAAGAGCGTCTACACTGGCCCCGATCCTCCGGAAAAAGCGCCCTTTTCCGGAGGATCTTATTCCTACTTCAAAAGACGCTCTTTTCCGGCTTTTTTAAAAGCCGGAAAAAAGCGGCGGGCATTTTTATTTAAATGCCGCGGGGGATATTTAAATCCCCCGCGGATTTCCCTATTACGATAGCTGAAATTAACATGCCCCTTCCGGAAAAGGGGCCAGTGTAGACGTAGCCAATGAATTTGGAGGTCATTGAACGGAAGGTGCAGAGAATTAACTGGGATACCATACGTGCTATACAAGGACAAAGTTATTATACTGAATTTAAAAAATGATAACCACTGAAATGTGTGCTATATCCAATACATAATTTGAACTAAAATAGGGTGGTTTAGGAGCAGGTTTCACACAAATTATGGAATTAGTTCTACATTATACAGTATGTTAACTTTATGTTTGGATTTCTTTTTAATTTCAGAGGAAATAATGCAGCAGACCTGTCTAAACCTTACAAACAGGGACCGACATGTGGTGATTGTCTTAATGCCTGCGAACAAGGACTCTGCAGTAAGTTAATTTTGTTGTTATTGTTCTTTCCAAATCTTACCTGAAGAAATACATATAAAAGCTTGACGAACTTGAATGATAAGTAAGGTCAAGATTTTGTCGCAGTGATTTTTAGTAAAAGGCAGACAGGTCATGAGAAACAAAAATTCATGGGAGGCTGTGAACTGTCTAAGACTTACTAAAAATAACCAGAGGGGCAGAGGGTGGTAGGAGGGAGAAATGATAGCTGGAGTCCCGTGGGGGATTGACAGGCCACAACCTCAGCCATGGGGGGATGCATAGCCCCAACTCCAGAGCTGGCTGCAGCTGTGGAGTAGGGGGACACAATCCCAGCTCTAGCCACAGCAGTTGGTTCCCACCCCCTGCCACAACCACCAGAGTGGAGGAGAGAGGTGGCGCATGGCCCTGTCTGCAGCCCCTTGTCTGAAGCTGTGAGGCACGGATACAGCCCATGACTGTAGCCTCTGCTGCAAGCTGTGGAGAACAGGGTCAATGCAGAGGGAGCATGTAGACAAGGGCCTAGCTCACAAGCCGTACAATAAAAACTTCTTGTAACTCTCAGACTATATAAGCAGCTATTTTGGACACTATTTGATAAATAAGAATTCCTTTAGACCGCTTGTGCATAAAGGAAATCCCATTAGCTCTCTCATAGCACTAGATATGGACCCGGGTAGGGTTGCCAACTTTCTGATCTCACAAACTGTGAACACCCCTGTCCCAAAGCCCTTCTCCTCCCCCCCGTCACCTCAGTCAGCTGCTCCCCCTTTTCCATCACTCCTCTGCCTCATCCTCATTCACTCTCACCTACCTGGAGCAAGGGTTTGGAGTGTGGGAGGGGAGTTCAAGCCTGGGGATAAATGGTTTGGTGTTGAGGATGGGGCTCTAGGCTGGGATGGAGGAGGCAGAGTTGCACACAGTGGAGGGCTCTGGCTGGAGGTGCGAGCACTGGGCTGGAGTAGGGGCTTTGAGATCCCAGTGACATTTACTGCAGCTCCCAGGCAATAGCGGGCAGGTTGTTGGAGCTCCAGGGGCAGGAAGGTTCTGCATGTTAGTCTCCTGCCCACAGCCACTGCCGCTGCAAATCCCATTGGTCACTGATCTCAGCCAATGGGAGCTGCAGGGACAGTGCCTGTGCACAAGGGCAGTGCATGAGTCCTCCAAACACCTAGGGTTGCAGAGACCTGGTGGCTGCTTCCAGAAGCCATAAGGAGCAAAGGCGGGAAGGGAGCCTGCTTTAGCCAAGGGTCCCTGCTGCACCTCTGACCAGACTTCTATTGGCCCAGTCAGCGGTACTGATTGGAACCGCCAAGGCCCCTTGGGGTGCATCTACACTGAACCCGGAGCTCAAAAGAAGCTATGCAATCTGAGTTACGCAAACTGTGTCTCTTATTTCAACCTTATTTCAAAATCTGGTGCTGTCTACACAGCACTTATTTCTATATAAATCACTATTCCGAAAGGTCCCTTAATCCTTGTGGAATGAGGTTTACAGGGGCGTCGGAATAGCAAACCCGTTATATTTCAAAATAACGGGGGCACTCAAAAGTTGCAGAATCACGACTGCAGTGCAGACGTAGCCTTTTTGACCAGGCTTTCTGATAAAAAACCAGACTCCTAGGAATCCTAATGAGAGGGCAAGGTAATCTGTATAGTGCTAGCAGTGCCCTCTGCTGGAGAACTCACAATATTAAGTATTCAATCTCAGACATTTCATTTCATTTTGGGACACCAATACACAGACAAGCTGATGGATTATGTGTATCCATACAGTTTTGCAAATGCATTGGAGCTTTGAAGGCTTAAATTAAGTATGATCAAAAATGTGTAATGGTTAAGTGGTTCCTCCCTCCCACCCCAATCTCTGAGAAAAATAATACTTCTGTACTTCACTGTACATTGTTAAGCTTAATTCATTAAAGCTTAAACACATTTTGAGGACTCATTGATACAACTTTACAGTTCAATCCTGGTGTAGCTCCACTAACTTCAGTTGACATGTAACAGGTGGATTTTGGCTTGTAACACTATGTGATATGGCTGATCTTCTGTTCCAAAGCAATATTCAGAGAATGCCAGGAACAACGCTTACCTTGACCTAAACACAGCTTTGATTCTACTGTCACTTACCTCAGTGTAAATCCACTGAAGCTAATTTAACTAGGCTCAGAATGAAGCCCACCAGGTAACTGCGGGTCCCAAAACAGAGAGGCAAACAAGACTACATAAATTATGGAAACAGTAGATTAAAAAATACATTTTAAAGGGAAACAACTGATTTAAGTTATCACCTAACTCTCTTTTCTCACTGTTTTATTTCAGCCAACCCTTGCAAGTATATGGATAAACACGCAAGGTGCAGCACTTTGAAAGATCTTTTTGGCTGTAATCATTCTGTGGTGAAGGAAAATTGTAAGGCTACTTGCGAATGCACCACTGAAATAAGATAATATCCTGCTATCCATCACTCTCTCTTCCTGGAGATTGTTTTAACTGAAAGAGAAAAGAACCCAGGATAAAAGAAAAAACACACACATTCACAGTATTTTCATAATTGCTTGAATTCTGGATAAAACAATAATGAGATTGCACTCTGCATTATGCGTTCTATGTCCTGATTGATCTTCAGTAATTTAAATTATTTCTATAATAACTTTAGAATATTCAGAAATTGTATTTTAGTTATTAATGGGCCTGGGTCTATTCCAGGAGTGGGTGGGTGAGGTTCTGTCACCTGCAATATGCAGAAGGTCAGACTAGACGATCATAATGGTTCCTGTGAGTCTACTTCAAAGCATGGAACTCCCAATTTTTTTTTATTATTCTTAAACAGGAAATAAAGTCATAATCGACTTGACATTTTTGTATTGCACATTTCATTTCAGTTGATTTGCCTCTAGCTTTTTCTTTGATTATAACATGAATGCAATCCTGTCAAATAAAAGCATTGTTTAACTCCATCAATGCAAAGTAATTCCTGTAATTCTTTGCCATGGTGCATGTACTATTCCACAAAGAAGTTAAGCCAATGAACACTTTCAGTTAAGCTTTACTTACCCACATTGCCTTTCCTTTTGAAGAGCAACTTATTCACTGCAAATATGATGTGAAGCCATTGAAAAAATAGCCAACTGGACAAACATTTCACCATAATAATAAGCAGACATCACCATTTCATGTTCCTTATGCCCTGCTGACAATACTGAGGTCGACCATTAGAGGGAGATAGCGTTACATGTGAGCAATGGTTACAAACCTAAATGAGGGTATGACACACCCTGTATTCTAATTGATAGCAGGCATTAGAATGTTAGAGTCTGGCGCGGTGATCCCCAACCTTTTGGGGCTGCTGGGCACCCGGAGGCGGGGCCACTCACATGCTGGGCACCCGGAGGCGGGGCCACTCACGTGCCAGGCACCCAGGGGCAGGGCCACCCATCCGCTGCATGCCCGGTGCCAGCGCCACCCATGTGCCACACTCCCGGGGACGGCGCCACTCCTGTGCCGCATGCCCAGGGACGGGGACGCCCGTACACCGCACTCCCGGGGCTGGTACGGCCTGTGCACCGCGCACCTGGGGCCAGGACTGCCCATGTGCTGCGCGCCCGGGAGTGGAGCCAGCCCCGATCGCTCTGCGGGCCCACAGAAATGGCCCGGTGAGCCCCATGGAACCCGCGGGCACTGCGTGGGGGACCACTGGTCTGGTGACTGACAGGCAGGGTATATTGCAACGCTTTGCTCTTTATTTTGATGAGAGAGCAGTGTGTACTAAGATGAGAGGCTTTTATTCAGATCAGCGTTTCCCAAACTATGGGCCACGGCCCGGTACCGGGCCATGAGAAAAAAATACCAGGCCTCAGCATGCCTGGTGGCTGCCGGTGGGTTACAGAGCCGGGGGCCCTGTTCCACCGATATGTGGAGCTGGGTCTATCCCCCAACTCTGCCGGGCACAGGGCCCCCCCACACATTCTTCCACCCCACCCCCAGAGTGTCCCCGCC